GCTGGGTATCTAACATATTGTTTCTCATTTTCCCAACCACCGTATGAAGCGGGTATGGTTATGTGAGGACCTACTCAGAAGCCAGAGTTGGCATGAAGATTATTTTAAGCTAAAGATATTTGAGATTCAACAGATGCAGAAAGAAACTTTCTTGGAGCTTCCCTTATCCGACTAAAAGCAGAAACTTACGGGAAATGAGGCTGCCATAAACCTCCTCTTCAGAGTAGTTTTTACTCCCAGGAAGACTAAGTAAACCTACCATAAAACCCCTCTCTGGGGAGTTTTATGGCCATGAAGCAGATGGACAGACCATTGCACCTGCATACACAAGTGTTATCACAAACTTTCTTGTCTCCTGTTTGTTTTCCTTGAAAACCCATTTGTCTTTCCTAAAAAAATCCATTTGTTCTTCCCATAGAAGTCTTTTCTCCCCCCCCCTTCTCCTACTAAATTAGGTATATAAGTCTCTAACTTTAGTTATTTCTTTTGTAAAGTCTTGTTTGCATAGGAATAAACTTTTTTTCTCCTCTTAATCTGTCTTTTGTCAGTTTAATTCGAAGGCCTCCAGGTACCGAACCTCAGGGAGTAGAGGAAAAGTATCTACCACCACCACCCCCATTTTAAAATGAAGAAAACTAAAGTGCAGGGAGGTTAAGTATACTAACTTGTGCAAAGCCATAAACATCAACTCATTCTTAAATATTTAAAAAACAGTTATCCTTATCCAATCTTTAAAATTAAAACCCTGAATTGAAAGATCATCTAAACCAGACTTCAAAATCTCCATAAATCAGACCTAGCCCTTCCCTTAGTCTGAGACTGCCATACTCTGTGGGGGCAGCACTGCCTCTTACCAACATAAGCAAGAAAACTCAGTGTGGTCTTATCAACAGGTTATTCTGGTAATATTGGAGAGAGCCGGCAACAGAAATAAGATTGTTCTAAAATATGCCTGAAATTTGGTACTCCCTAGCTTAGTGATTTAAGTGTAAAACAAATAGAAAATTTAACATCACTGTTCTAATTTCTAGATCGGATATCTTAACAGTTCATCTCTTCAGAATCTAATTTTCAACCTCACTTAAGAACCTAAGTGTAAAACAAAAAGGGATTTTCAACAGGCAAATAAATGCATTTAATTAAGTTGAAGCACAAAACAGATACCAAGAAATTCATATATAGGGTGTCCCAAAAGTCTCCATACAAAGGGCAAATTTTGTAATGAGTATTTTGTAACTAAGGTACATTAAGCTACAATTTCCCATTTTCCCTATGTGTGGCGACTTTTGGGACACCCTGAACTTTAGTCATAAATCAGCTCCTCAGTCCTCCCTGAGCAAATGTTTGCTCCCACTTTACAGACCATTCCTGCCTCTGCTGGGCCCGGGCCTCTTAGTCAGCTGAGTCTCCCACCTCCCCCAGATCCACGTCTGCTCCATTCCCTTCAAGTTCCCTGTATCCCCATCCTCTCCTCCCTCCCATACTCTTAGGTATGATGTGGCCTCCTACTGCATACAAGAGTTACAATCCACCAGCTTCCTCTAACACCAAGGGTTTTATTTGTTATCCTTCTTATCTCTTTAAGGGTATCTAAAGAAGAGGTATTCTACACAGTATTTTGAATGCCACTCCATCCCGTCTCAAGGTATCTTACTCCTTTGCTAGCACTCCTATTTCAGTATTCAAACCAACTATCTCTACCAATTCCCTGTCCTCAGCCTATAAACCTCTCCCATCTTAAAACAAAGACAAAAAAACCTATACCCAATCCCAGAATTCCTTATTTCTTTTCCATTAAAACTAGTTCTGGAAAATAACACTTAACTTTTGTTACCTCCATTTCCTTACCTCCCATTCCCTTATCTCCAGCCTACTGT